CGAAGTGGAATACATCGTTTTTGTTTGCTTTTCAAGCTTGGTTGGAGCCTTGTTTTGCTTTCGGGTCGTCAATTTTTTTTGTATTCGACGAACTTTTGTCCGTACAAATACTAATGCGTATAAAACGGGATTTAGCTGGTTCTGCTGCCTCATACCGACGGAACAATGCAGAATTGTTTTGAATAATCTGTTCTAAGTCGAAGATAAGTCAGCTTAATATAATGCTGCGGTCGGCGGCACAAGTATGTAATCAGCGGAGTATGCAGTAGCAATTAACTAAAGCGAGCCTCATAACAAGAGGGTTTTGTCTAAACTAAACACAAAGTGCATTTAATTCAGCTCGGTTTGTGAGGCAGGTAACAAATAATTCCGCTTAGTTACTGTTGGACTATTCGAGTTGCCATGAGTATACCATTCATAGTTTATAGGAGATAAATCTCTTGTCATGAAATGCTGCTTTTCATACGCACAGTGTACTGTAAGACATCTGTTGTAGAAAGAAATCCAGATATAATAAGAAAAAAAACACGTTCTCTTTAAAATGTAAGAAAAATATATTTTGTTATTTTATAATTATTTAATTCAGTTGCAAAACTTCAGTCGTAATAAAAAAAGAGGTATAAAAAATAACTCCTTTCCCAAACACTACTTCATTCCAGACAAAGCTCCACGGATAAAATGCTCATTCTACAATTGATATTAAAAAAAACCTTAATTCTTTCAAGTAGCTCGAGTGGCAATTCTTTTGATCTCACTTAAAACGTTCGCGAAAGAATACTCGTTGAGAACGTTGTTTTCCACGGATATGCCAATTTTTTACGTACTCGTGTTGGGAGAATCTTTATCGCGTAAACAATATCGTTATAATAGTTTAATTATACACCTTAAAACCTACCTACATGTATTTTAATTAGATTAATAACTTTCCAAGTCTCGAAATTTAAATGGTCAAAGGGTAAGTAGTATGTACGTACATACCCATACATAAGTACTCGCGATTCCACGTCTATCATTTTAAAATTACTTAATTTTTAGAGAGTTAATAGATATCTTTGTAAAACCCAAATCCAGATTTTGTATTAAGAAAGTGTTCTCAAATAAATCCATATTGCACACATAACAAATACAAAGATCGCCCGCTGACAAGGGTCCAAATCAGAGATATTAATTTGTAGGGTGCCTTGTAAATTAACCGTCCTAAGTTAGTACGCGACCGAGTTACTCTGTCCGGATAATTTGTAAGGCCGGCGAGCAATAATTTTCGACTCCTGTGCCCGTTTACCCTGCGCCCGGATTAAACTAATACCCGGATTAAAGGGGTGCGTATGTCCTCTCTAAAAAAAACAATGTCCACGTAATTGCTACGTTCGTGCTCTTCAATTCCAAGAAAATTGAATTTAAAATTGGAATTTTGCGTTCGAATCGAAAGCTATTATTTTCGACGAAAATAACTTCGCAATCAGGTTCTATATCACGAGGTTAACGATTGTGGTGTCGTAATCCAATTAACCTCTTTTCACGAGGCTCTATTTATACAAGATTTTCCAAGGGGCATACGAACTTTTCTAAGGAAATTGAAATTGAAGGCGACCGCAGGCACCTCTATAGATGCCTACTGGAGCACTCCTTCAATTCCTTCCATACTAATAAAAGCCTGCAGTAGAACTACTTCAGGCCTCGATAATGATAGTTCATCCAGTAAACAATCTCTTTAATAAAAGCACTACGCAGCGGGAATCGCACATAATGATTCATTATGAATGAACTATTTCGCTTTAACATATGTACGTATGCTTGCTCAAGCACTACCGCAATACATTCATAAACGTTTTTTTAAACACGAGCCATATTTTAATTGCTATGAAATGGTTCTTGAATAAAAACAGGGCCTATATTATATACCTATAGTAATTACTTACGCTCTATTAAATCCAACCAAATAAATAATCGTTAAACTATAAGATTTAACTATATAGCTTATAAATAAAATAGATAAATATTTTCTGGTGGAGCTTGAACTAATTAAACGCACAGGCAGAACTCGAACCAACGATCAATACCCGACGGAAGTACCATGCCCTTGGTTTATACCAAATAAGTGAAAAATTGTTGACAATTAAATCGTGTCAAATTTATCAATCTTATTTTAATAATTTAAACATGTTAAAAAGAAATAAGTGACAAATGTAATAAAAAACACAAGGTTTTATGCCTGTTTTTTATATTTCATGGTAGAAGTGAGTGGCTTATGATAGTTGGAAATTTGATGTGCCAATACATCTGTAAAACTACAGCAATAAAACGTCCTCAATCTATGATAGTGTTTCAAAAAGATTTTATTTTTGTCAGCACAGTCCAGTCAATGAAAGCGTAGTAAAATAGAACCTAGCACCGCGTAAATTCTCAGGTCAACGAGCAATGCGCTAGTTTATTTCTTTCATTCATCCATAAAGCGTGGAACTAGCGATGTCAGTTACCTCAATGGCTTATATTTTATTGACTCTACTTATTTTTATGTCCGATTCCAAGATTCAAAGATATTACTAATAATTACAAGTATTAGTTAAGCTAATTATGTGTTACCTTTTGTTGATGTATTCGTGTACTTTTTTTAATGATAGAGGAGTATAGAAGATTGGGGTTTAATACTGTCTATAGTTTACGCGAGTAGTACACATTTGAATAAAACACTTTAACGGTTTAAAACGCGAGTCTCCCCGTGACCACGGCTGCTGCAAAGCATCCACAACGTCGGGCCGAAGTTAATAATCATTTTCAAATAAGTTTAACTAATATATCGCGTTTTAAACCGTTAAATTGTTTTATTTAAAAGCATGGGGTTTATTTGTTGGGTAGATGAAATACCCCAGTCATCCAATCAAGTTGCGCTGTCGACTTTGGGTTTGGATATTCGGAAATCCACAGACTGAAATCGAAACGTGACAATACTTTATGGTTTTTTCATTCGTGACCCGGACGGATTTTCGATATTCCTACCAACCATTTAATATCCAGGTTTCCTAACGAAGTCCAATATTTCCGCAAAATTATGTATTGATTAAAAAATGTTGGACCCAGTATGTATCGAACCCTGGACCCGTCGATTATTAGCAGTACACCAACGAACCCGTCAAAAAATGTCCGTACGTTCTTAAATTATAAAAAAACTCACTTACGTAATATAAATTATAAATCTAATGAACGCGCTACTAATAAAAATTCTAAAGACAATTTTGCTTTATAAATATATCTGCGATAAAAGTAATCTCGGTAAAGAAATCTTCATATTTTAAAATGTTTGTATATTTGTTTTGTTTTGATATTTTTATTATTGACTAGCTGAGTCACTGACTTCGTACGCGTAGAATAGTTATTTAGGGAATCAATTTTTGTTTTTACAAACGTCCTGTTCAACTCTATAAATTTAAGCTGTTACATACGACGTTGTCCGCGCCCCGTAATTTTGGAAGTTAAGATAGACATATACTGTCGCGGACTTTTGTTAGATCGTTTAAAAAGAAATCATTCTTTCATACATATTTTCTTGGGTATCTTGAACCTCTTTCGCCGCGTACGCAATGGAAAAAACTCACAAGGAAGAATGATTTTCCCCGTTTTTCGACATTTCCCGCTGTTTCTGCGCTCCTATTAGTCACAGCGCTGTTTTATAGCGCTAAAAACACAGATCAATGCCAAAAAATACGTATTTGGCATTGATCTTTTTTTATTTTTTTTATATTCTACACCAACACTAATCTATAATACAATTTAAAAAACATTTTTTTGATTTTAAACCGTTAAAACGGTTTCTATTTCTGCTCGTCATATATACTTCAATATTAATTTTTTAACTAAATTAACTTAAAAATTAACAATACAAAAAAGGCAAACAATATAACATTATTAACTAAATATAAAACTAAATATAAAACTAAATATAAACTAGATTAAAACGGCTTAAGAATTGCCTTGCTTCTTCCCGGATCTTTTACTAGTTTATTGTGCGTGTGTTCATCTAACTCGTTCAGAAGCAAGGGCAATACATAAGTGCGTGTGCGCTTTCCGTAAGATTGTTAAAAGGGGGCAGAAATATCTAGGCAAATAATGGAGGGGTCTTAAATTATCAGGTCTTTTCTTAACTTCTAATTCCTGGATATACCCTATTTCTTCGCATAAACATCGCTGTGTTTTCGCATATTTAGAAATGGTGAACTGACGGAACTATTTTTTGTTTATTATTAACGTACTAATAGAAGCACGCATCCATATTTATGTTTCTTATGGAAATTAAAAAAAAGGCTTCGTGTGCAGCGTAACTCGCACATGTTTTTCCACAGAACTGTTGTGTATTGTGCTCGTATAACGATGTTAAGTCAATAGCGCCCGTTGCTGTTGGCTCGAAAGAAGCGGATCCGGTCCAATCTAATTTATTAATAGCAAATAAAAGCGCCGTAAAAATAGTCGGATTCGCCCCGATGTTGTTCCCGATGATTGGTGGAAATCGCAGCCAATTGTTCCCCTATATTGAATTTCCACTTTTCCAATGAAAGGCATTCAAGCGCTTTTCATTATAATAAAGAGTGGAATACGGTTGCCTTTGAAGATATGAACTTATCAATATAATTTGTTTTCGTTCGTTGCCATTGAATGCAAGTTTTACCTGTGAGAGAACCGAGATAATTCGGGACCACATATTAAAAGCTATTTATTATTCGTAAAAGTAAAAATAATGTTTTTTTATAAGCATGCACAGACTAATTGAAACTTATCAAACTTTAATATTAACTAGGTATATTTTTGAAGGAAGGAACTTTTAAAACAATATTTTACGGGCTGTTCGGCCAACGTAAGCGGGAAGATAATAAATTAATAAGTAATTAATTTTAATTCTTCGAGCAATCGAGGATCTAATAACGTCTTCTGATGATACCGTCCGCTCGTGATGGTATGCTTAACGATGGCCGTGAATTTTACATAATTTATTTTTACCTTTGTTACAGATTGGCGCATTACCAGGATTCTTTTTGCTGTCACATCACGGTGTCAAAAAACGTTCCACTGAACCGAGTCAAGAGCACCACGAGAAGCTTAATAATGAGCCTCAGGTATTTACTACGTTAGTTATGTAAGTTTTTTATTGTTGGAGGTATCTTCTAGGAAAAAAATATCTATAATTATTAAATATACGATTTTGAAACAACGAGTATTATAAAGAAAAGCAATTTTCTTCCCCCCCTAAACCAAAAAAAAAATGCTATATTTCCCTAGTTATTACTAAAGATATAATTGGCGTTTATGGTTAATGTCTTCATATTGAAACAAGTATGGCATTTCGCTAAATGCAATAACTCACCACTTTTTTCAGATTTTAATGTATAAATGTGAAAATTTCCATGGTGTTGTAACTGTAGCTCAATTGATACAGCAGCGCCATGAATCTGTGGTTGTGGGTTCAGTTTCCATCCACATCATTTTTTAAAATCTATAACACCGATTATACTTATATATAAATAATATACCTATCGTCGCCACGAAGCCGATGTAAAGCATATACCGTTAGGAATCTCATTTCAGCTCAGATATTATTGGGCCCGATACTAATAAACATTTATGAGACTAGATACTTGGAAACAGATACGCCGCAAACTTGAATAAAATCATAATATCAAAGTTTTCCGACATCAAAGTGGTGAAACCTATTCTAGGAATGATATGTTCCCATTCTATTACGCATTATTTTTACCATTACGATTGGAAAGACAATAAATTTCTCACTTCTTGTTACTAAGTGAATTGATTTTAAATACGGTTTATAATCTTTATTTCTTTTAAAATTACACATTTAGTTTAATAATGTATCTTATATCAAGCAACCAAAATTAGTGAGTATTACTTATATGGTGATATTTATATATTCGTTAAATATTAGTACCGCGGTCTCCCCGTGACCACGTTTACTGCAAAGCTTCCGAAACGTCGGGCCGTAGTTAGAAGAAATTAAAATAAGTTTAACTGATATACATCGCGTTTGAAACCGTTAAAGTGTTTTATTTTAATGTGTACTACTCGCGTAAACTACAGACAGTATTTAGATGTTAGTAGTCGAACATGAGGCATTTAATCTTTAATCTTTTAGGGGTAGTTCTAGCAATTATCATTGCAACCTACCCATTTTCATTGTCTCATACATGTTTGTATATTGTTAGATAATCATCAATCATTCATATTTCTTTTTCAGTATATTATAGTATTTATATTTAAACAATGTCACAATTAAAGTATCAATTGAAGTCCTGGGTTTGAAATCGGTTTGAGTCCGACTGGACACAGAAATGTCCCAATCCCTTGGTCTACGTAGGGGAACGTATATACTGTACATTAATTTATATGCTTTATGTAGTGTACAGCTTTCTATTGTAACAAGACTCCGACGGTCACCCTTAGCTAAGCTAACGAAGTAAATATCTAGGTGCGTCATATCTAGAACCTAATTCAACGCAATTACCCCGTGATGGAGTAGCAAATGCCATTACGCAGTGCATTGCCTTCAATTAAGGGTACAAGGATAATACCGCGGGCCTGACCGCCAAATGAGCTTTGCGCTTGTGGTCGAGAGATATAATCCCCTTAGATCATTTCACTGTCCCAATATTATGGAATACGTGGTCGCTATTGTTTACTCATAAGAATACTACGACGTAACTTCGTAGGTATATATAAGTCTACCCTGTAACTTCGGAGGTATATAGAGGTCGTTAGAAGGCCTTTTTAAGTAAAATTGTTTAAATGAAGCACGTTAAAGGTTTAAAAAAAAAAAAAAAAAAAGGGGGAAAAGAGGGAAAAGGAAAAAACCCCCCCCCCCCCCCCCCCCCCCCACCCCCAAAAAAACAAACACACCCAACCACGAAAAAAAAAAAAAAAAAAAAAAAAAAAAAAAAGGGAAAAAAAAAAAAAACCCCCCCCCCCCCCCCCCCCCCCCCAAAAAAAGAGGGGGAGATTTTTTTTTATAAAAAAAAAAAAAAAAAAAAAAACGGGGGGGGGGGTTCCCAAGGGAAAAAAAAAAAAAGGGGGGAAAAAAAAAAAAAATTTGGAAAAAAAAAAAAAGGGGAAAAAAAAAGAACCCCCCCCCCCCCCCCGGGAAAACACGGGGAACCCCGGGCCGGGGGAAAAAAAAAAAAAAAAGGGAAAAAATTTTGAATTTTAACCTGTTAAAAGTGTTTTATTTGTACTACTTGCTTAATCTACTTACAATACTTAATTTAGTTTTTTATGCACAGAACAAATATGTGTTATATAATAAAATCTACATTGGTCTGCCCTTCGACTAATAAAATAGTTTAACGCTATTATGTTGGACAAAACCCCATTGTAATATAGAGTTGGCACCGAAACGAACATAAAACAGAAGGAATTGCGACCGAACAAAGTTCTATCCGTAATGGACGTGTCTATCAATGACGTGTCGGATATAAAATGTCCACTCACAATAGTTTTGCGATCGAGGTCCCGATTCTGGACATTTATTAGATAGGGACATGCATTCGAGGGGCCACCGGTACGCCATTGAGATGCCAGACCAATAGGCGATGTTTTACTAAATGTCACGCCCGTAGATAAGCTAGTGTGACGACAGAGTCACAACACTCATAAGTCATTGTCTTACTTGCGTACCATATGGCTAATCCAGGCTATACAACTCTACAAGTGACTGGCCAGTGTAAATAGCAGAATCAGGAACCGCGTCGAAAAGACGAAAAGTTGTGCCGTTCCCTACCATGACGATTCTCTTTTGTCCGCGATAACTTTGTAAAGCTTTGTGCGGACCGACAATGTTGACTAACGCTTCGTTTCCGGCGTACTTTTTTAACCGAACGCCGAACTCAGCTAAATATCGTTTAAGCGAAGAGCAACGCGATGACACAAACTCTTAATTTTGTTATTTTGTTGCTTGAAACTTACTTATTATATTGTTACTTAGTTATTTCTTACATGAAAATAATGTTTTAACTAATTAAACTGTAAAAATATATTTTTTTGCCATGCAATACGAATAATAGCGTCAAATCGTTTAGTCTGTAACTATATCTTTAACTAACCGACCAGACAAACGTTCTTTTGCCATATAAAGCATGTCGACGACATTTGATTACCATAATAACGATTCTTGTAATTTTAAAAGAAAGACATATATTGTCACAGCTTTTCGCGGCGCACGCAACGGAATGCCTCAAAGAAGATTTTTCTTCCATTTTTCCACATTTGCTTCTATTTCTTCGCTTCTATTTGTTGTAGATTGATGTTTTAAAGCATTCTTCGATCAATGGTCCAACCATCACAAAAATATTTTTTCAATTAGAACTGTTAGTTCCTGAGATTAGCTCGTTCAAATAAACAAACCTATTTTATGGTCTCACACCAGTAACGATCTATAAGCCATCGATAGCTTTAGCGATTGATAAAAGTTTTATAATCCCAAGCTACAATGTAACACACTCCTTACCGACTTGGCCCTGCCAACCGACTAATAAAACTAAGGGGCGGTCCACAGCCAGCCTTTCTCATGTTGATCAGAACCACCCTCGCTACATCATAAACAGTCTTCCTCGCTGCAAATGCTTTCAAATTGCTTCTGAATAGTATCCGATAGAACCAGTGTATATAAATAGATATTTAAAATTATTTAGGTGCTTTGGTAAAGTATATTTGAAGAAAATATAAATAATAATATGTATGTGAATAATGGCGGTTTTTAGCCTCATTTAAAATATATATATAAAGAGATTGAAAGGTTTATTGTAATTGCTATTACTATAACTTTCTCTATTGCTTTTTAAATACATATTATATTTCCACTAATATATAAAAATAAAATATACTGTATTCTCTTTAAAATTTAAAAAAATATTTAGATTCGTCAAATTTTTTTTTCGTTTGTCTCTCTGTTCTTCGTGTTTCTACAGGTGTTCAAAAGAGCAACATAACTGAGAAGAACACCCAAGAAACTCAGTCCGGCTTTTTTAAACATGTCTTATAAACTAATAAATTTTTGTAAGTTTATTAACCTAAGGAGCAATTCATATTACAGATAGGCGGTCTTGTCATTAAAAAAATCGTTCAGACAATAATAAGCCTTTTGAGACAATCGAAGTTTTATAACTTTCTTAAATTTATTTATTACAGTTTATGAATGAATTAGAGAGCCTATATTTGGGGATAGGTAGTTTATCCTTATTTCGTTAAGTTCAAATGATGCCTATCACTATTCATGCTGTTATTCTTATTGGCATACAATACGTTTTCATAAATATACTGCAAGTACACAGTAAATATGCCGATATTTTTAAAGGTGTCTCTTAATGACTCCCGAGATCCCATACCACAGATACATTCGATGTCGGCAACGTTACCCCACAGTAGTATGCCATATGTCAAAACACCGTGGAAGTAGCTGAAGTAGACTAGACGCGCTGTTTTATTACTATAAGTAATAATACTATTGCAAAAGGTCTCTGGAGGTTTATTTTTGTCGATTGTATTTACTAAAACTTACCGTACTTACCGTAACCCTCATTCTTTCATATGTACATTATAACAAGTAAACGTAATAGCTTATAATATATGTGTTTAGAAACCACTTTTATATGACAACAACTCACATTAACAAAGCAGTAAAAATGTAACGAAATTCATGAAAACGTTAGAACAAAGAGCATTCGTTACTGAAATGAAATTTAAATAAAAGCCTTCTTGCCTCTGCTTGTTCTATAACAGGGTAAACGAGCCATTGTGTGGCGACGGGAGTTTTGTCGTCATCCCTTTAAACCTTTTCTTTCACGCCGGCTTTAGTGATGGCCTGTATTAGTTTAGGACCCTATTACTGGGCTTGTTCTGAATCATACAAATGATCGTGGGATTCTTTTTGAATGTGGCTACGGTACGTACACATCTGGAATATTCCGCTTTAAGGGTGGAGATTTGAATGACCTACAATATAAAGAGTTAATACCTTATGCATTTATTTTCAGTTTTTGCGAGTAGATTAAAATAAGGCAATGTTAATAAATTAAATGATTGTTGTATATATACTCTAAATCTTTAATTTTACTCCTCACGCCAAAGCATCTCAAACGTCACGACGCAGTTCAAATAAGAAAACTAATATACTTTGCATTTTAAACCGTTAAAAGTGCTTTATTTAAATGCTCACTGCTCACGAAAACATATAATACTGGCGATATACTTTCTCATTTTATTACTATAACTACATTTTATAAAATGGTAGGTCTTCTCTTTGTTGTCATAGAAATTTTAAATAAGAGTGTACCCAGACCAATATTGGTTTATTTAAACTATGACCTTTATTCGTTTTTGTCATAGAATACAACTATTAACTGTGTTCGGTCCGCGGTGTTAGCTCAGCTGAACGTGCTAACAAGCGCCGCTAAAACAATATTCCTGCTCGGATTTTGTTTATGTAAAAAGTTTATCTGCGCAAGATAAATCGCTGGCCCAGGTTTAGTTGCAGAATCTAAAATATGTTTTGTTTAAAAGTTTTATTTTATAGTATGCGGAGCCCGCCCATTTGTTTCCGCACCAGTCTCCTTGGAATAAACTACTTTATACGTAAACTGATGTTTGTATTGGCAAGGATCACGTCGGTTTTGTCTAAACAGAGTGATAAAATTTTACATTGTATACTTTATAATGTATTGCGTTTTTGGGTAAAATTCTATCAATATGTGTGTACATACATACATACACATAAACATTTTTAAACATTAAAGAAAGTCGTGCCATTAACACAAACACGAATTCTATGTTTTATATAGTTATCTATAACTCTTTCTATTACGTTCGGCATAAATACTATTAATCTGAATAAATATTTTTTATTCAATCCAGAGATAAAAAGGGTATTTGATTGTCCTTTATATTCACGTATTCATAATAAATACCGCATATTGTATTTTAGTCCTGTCTTCAATAAGATTCTCTGTTGTCGATATGCCAAAAAAGTACTTTATCCCTGTTTTACACAATCAACAAATTATCTTACGTTTAAGCTTCTTTCTTTTCTCATAAACTTTTTTTATGTTTTGCTACGATTTTTTTTTTGCACTTGCAAAATAATAGAATTTTTGTATGTTAACTACAATTTATATATTAAAATATTAAGAAAAATACCGAAAATTCCACTCATTGAAAACTGAGAGAGAACTTACAGGCCACAGGGTAAAACCGTGCACTAACGGTGCATAAAACTTTTAAAAGCCAAAATTCCCAACGAATTATGCGAGATCTTCGTGAACTGTGAACGAGCTTACGTTTCTGCAATTCAAGATAAAATTAAGTAGTTAGAAGTTCACAAAGGTCTCAATTTGCGCAACTTACCTCGGCGGTTAAAAATTATTTCCCCTAGCAATGAAACACGTAGATGGCGGCCTTTCTCATGCTAATACGAGTTCGTGCTATTTTCTCGCTGTCTGTTGCTTTCCAACAACTGTGAAATTGCATCGTCCGAGCCGCACATGAACGTCTTGTTTAGAGAGGGCGCAAAGAATTGTTCACGATTCCGCCCGCTCCACTCCTGCACCCACTTATAACTGCACAAGATCTCTACTTACACCTGCGGTGGAATTTCCTGCTCGACGTTAGCGTTAAATTATCCACGCAAATTATTTAAACAGTGCCGTTGTTTCTCATAAAGGAATAAATACAAATAATAAAATCTCTATTTTAATCAGCTCTATTTTTGGGATAACAATAGGGGAAACAATTTCATAATGCAATTATTTGCAGCACCACAATATTGCTCTCTTCTTTTTAATAATTTATTTAGATTTAATATTTCTGAACATGTACATTAAATGCCTGCAATAATTATTTGGTATGCATGTTTGGCGTCTTCGGTAATAGTTCAATGGTTTACAGGTGAGATGGTTTGAACAGCAGAGGGAGAAACGAAGAGTCAAGAGGGACTACAAGCCCTACGAAGGTCAGCTATGGTCACAGCTGTCCAGAAAGCCGGCGTCTCATAGGACGAGACATCGGGCAATTACTCCAACGCTCTTTCCTGATCCATTGTTCAAGGAGCAATGGTACTTGGTAGGTTTATGTGAATAAAACATTTACTTCAGCCGATTTTGCCGAAATCTATACAATGAAAACTCGATGGGCAAAATATGAATAAGAAAGTCAATATTAACTTAATACCTATTTATTAAATAGCACATGATATATAATAGCAATGAGGTACACATTTATTACATTATTAAGGACTAATCTTAATAATGTAATAAATGTGTACCTCACCTTACTGTTGACTTGATATATTTAGAAAATTGTGTTCAAAAGCACATTTCCTAAGTTTTTTATCTTATTTTATGAACGTCTGAAATATTATTTCTAAGGAATATATGATTGAAAGCATTACTTTATATTCAGATGCATCTCATGAAATGTCTTAATGTTTCCAAGTAGGTGAATATTAAAGGCAAATTTTGAATTTCTATAGCCACACTTCCTTAATTAATTATATGTTTTTCTCTTTAGAACGGCGGTGCAAAGGATGGGTTAGATATGAATGTTGCGCCAGCTTGGCAAAAAGGCTATACCGGGAAAGGCGTAGTTGTGTCTATTTTAGATGACGGAATTCAAACGAATCATCCCGACCTTAAACAAAATTATGTGAGTGCGATAAATAAAATAATATTTCTTTTTATCCCATTAAAATAAGTCAAATATTTGGAGGTCGTATTCGTATATTTCGCATAGATTATATAATTATAGTACATATAATTTCAGGATGCTCTTGCGTCAACTGACATTAATGGCAATGACGATGACCCAATGCCCCAAGATAATGGTGATAATAAACACGGGACCCGTTGCGCTGGGGAAGTCGCAGCGGTTGCGTATAATCAATACTGTGGTGTTGGTATCGCATACAATGCAAGTATAGGCGGTGTTCGAATGTTAGATGGTATAGTGAACGACGCAGTTGAAGCTAGAGCTCTTGGATTAAATCCTGACCACATTGATATCTACAGTGCTTCTTGGGGACCGGAAGATGATGGAAAAACCGTAGATGGACCAGGACCTCTTGCAAGACGGTAAGAAGGAAGAAAAATAACTATTAAGCTCAGTTCCTCAACCTCAACAACTAACAATTTATTTTTCACTTGACATGGAAAGTGTTTCAGCATAAGCCTAACATTTATGTTTTCTTAACACTCAAAATGATATTTATAATAAATTTTCTAAGTTAATTATTCTATTTCAGAGCCTTTATATATGGCGTGACGAGTGGCCGACGCGGTAAAGGTAGCATTTTTGTTTGGGCTTCTGGCAATGGAGGTAGACATACAGATTCTTGTAACTGCGACGGATATACAAACAGTATATTTACTCTATCTATTTCGAGTGCTACTCAAGGAGGATATAAACCATGGTATTTAGAGGAATGTTCATCAACCTTAGCGACAACTTACAGTTCAGGTACACCTGGCCATGATAAAAGTGTTGCCACCGTTGATATGGACGCCAGATTACGGCCTGATAGAATTTGCACTGTCGAGCATACTGGTACATCCGCTTCGGCACCATTAGCAGCAGCTATTTGTGCGTTAGCTTTAGAAGCAAATCCAGATTTAACATGGAGAGATATGCAGTACCTAGTCGTAATGACATCCAGACCAAACCCACTTGAGAAAGAAACTGGATGGATCGTTAATGGAGTAAAAAGAAAAGTAAGTCACAAATTTGGCTATGGATTAATGGATGCTTCTGAAATGGTGAGCTTAGCTGAGCAGTGGGTATCAGTGCCACCCCAACATATTTGTAAGTCACAAGAAATTAATGAAGACAAGGCTATAGATTCTTCTTATGGCTATACGCTAAAAGTTCATATGGACGTCAATGGATGCAGTAGTACAGTCAATGAAGTGCGCTTTTTAGAACACGTACAATGCAAAATATCATTAAGATTCTTCCCTAGAGGTAACTTACGCATTTTGCTTACTTCTCCTATGGGAACAACATCTACGTTATTATTTGAAAGACCTAGAGATGTAGTTAGCTCCAATTTCGACGACTGGCCTTTCTTAAGTGTGCACTTTTGGGGTGAACGAGCAGAAGGTAGGTGGACGCTACAGATAGTAAACGCTGGTAACAGGCATGTAAACCAACCAGGAATTCTGAAGAAATGGCAGTTGATATTCTATGGAACAAACGTAGACCCCGTTAGATTACGATCAAAACGACCGTCGCCCTTGGTACCCCCTTTTGGTTTTCCAACTGGCGTTGATGGTTACGATGCAGTCGGGGATTCTTTTTATAATACTGACGCGTTTACCAATTACCAAAACTTCCCTACATTATTTGCTGCCGGTTCCGACCCGGAAAAAGCAATAGCCCGTCTCGACGGACATAACGTCCCTTCACCGCATGGGGAAAATGTCCTCGCTGATAGTAATGATAAGCGTGTCATGCATGAATGTGATCCCGAATGCGATTCTCAAGGATGCTATGGAAAAGGACCGACTCAATGTATCGCTTGTAAGCACTATAGACTAGATGATGCATGCGTCTCTCGATGCCCTCCAAGAAGTTACGCTAATCAAGGTGGAGTTTGCTGGCCTTGTCACGAGTCTTGTGAAACGTGTGTAGGACCTGGACAAGATTCATGTTTGACATGTGCTCCAGCACATTTGTTGGTAGCAGATTTAGCTGTGTGTTTACAGCAATGTCCCGATGGATACTATGAGGACACAGATGCTTCAGCTTGCAGACCCTGTGCAATTCATTGCTCCACGTGTTCTGATAGAGCGGACGCTTGCACCTCTTGTGAACATCATCTCGTTTTATTTAATGGGACTTGCATGGCGTCATGTCCTCCTAAAACGTATGAAACAGAAGATTATTCATGTGCGCAATGTCATGCGTCATGTGACACCTGTATGGGGTCAGGACCAGCACAATGTGTCACATGCCATCCTTCGAATTATATTTTAGATGGGCGCTGTGTATCTTCATGTCCGAGTGGATATTACGCTGATAAAAAACGTAAAGAATGTCTAAAGTAAGTTAAAACATATGCAATTTGTCTTAATTATAATTATTATAATATAATTTATTCTGACTATTTCATTGTACTTTTAGGTGTCCAATTGGCTGTTCAAATTGTTTGAGCACATTCTGTTTAAGTTGTGACACCAACTGGGAGCTGAATAAAAAGGGAAAATGTCTTCCCAGTGGCAATGACCGATGCGTTACTGGGGAATACTATTTTGAAAGCAAGTGTCAGAATTGTCATGATGCTTGTGACACCTGCTATGGGGAAGACGATAAGAATTGTTTAACTTGTCAATCTCCGAACCTCCTTCAAAACTACAAGTAAGTTAACATATCAAACACATTAAATAAAACGGTTTCTATGTAGATTGCAAAAAACATCATGGAAAGGATGATAGCTAAAAGCTACCCGAAATGTTGTGTTGCTTTTCAACCAAATACTAATTTTTATTTTAGGATCTAATCCTTTTTCATCTTTACCTTTGCAATCATTTTAAGGTGTGTATCTGAATGTGGACACGGCTACTACGCAGAGGCTGGAAGATGCGCTAAATGCGTGCATGGTTGTTCTCAATGTGCTTCCCGTCTCAATTGTACCAGTTGTGAGGGATCCTTGCGGTTGCAGTCTGGCGCGTGTAGGACCACCTGTGCTGATGGGTAAGAGTACAGAAAATTCTTAAAAAATATAGACTTTAAACATGATTTAGAATGAAAAAACTTATTGTGCTATACTTGTAGTTACTACGCGGATCGTGGTACTTGTGCCAAATGCTACCTTTCATGCCGCACTTGCAGCGGCCCTAGAAGAGATCAGTGCGCCTCATGTCCATCAGGCTGGAGGCTGGCTGCCGGAGAATGCTATCCAGAGTGTCCACAAGGTTGGTAAAATGTATAATTTAATTCTGTAGTTGTAACTTGGTATTTTCATGAATGGTACATATACGTACTAATCGGTCCTTTTATCAGGTTTCTACAAAACTGACGATGGCTGTCGACACTGCCACCATTACTGCCGTGAATGTGACGGTTCCGGCCCATTACATTGCAAATCTTGTCCGCCTGGCTTTATGCTTGATGGTGGTCTTTGTATGGAGTGTCTAGGGTCACAGTTCTATGACAAGAGCAGCAGGACCTGTCACGGATGTCATGACACTTGTAGAACTTGCTCGGGACCTGGACAGTTCAGTTGCACGGGTTGTTCGAGACCTTTACGGCTTGATAGGTAAGTATCTGTCATAAACTCAACTTCTTAAAGTGCTTATTAAAATAATATGTAAATATGCTCTATACATGTAAGAAACTTTGTGTTGTTTACAGATTAAACAACCAATGTGTTACGTGCTGTTCAGAAAATGGAGGTACTGTTAATTCAACACCTTCTTCCACGCCTGACTGCTGCCATTGTCATCCAGAAACTGGTTAGTAGAATTGGTTATATAAACTAGTTTTAGACAGATTAATATGTTAACCCTAGATAAAAGAGTATTCAAATACTTTAATGTTTATTGTTGCAGGTGAGTGCATAAACTCATCAGTGGCTGGAAAGCGTCGTATCGCAGAATGGGGCGCGTTACAAAGTTCTCCAGATACGCCAGCTAAAACGACGCTCAGCCCAGCAGTCATGGTGCTGGTGTTTATAGCTGCCGGTGCAGTAGTAGTTGGGCTGATGGCAGTACAGGTGTGAACAACCCTTTAAAAAGAAAAATAATGTTAGTCTTAAGAATCAATATATAACAATGCAAATATTGTTCTTGTAATTTATAAAACAGAAATTTTATTGAATAGACGACATACTCTATTGTCCGTAAGTGGCCTGAATTGAGAGATCCAAAGTCTTAAAATTTAAGCTCTTAACTTTTTTCTATAGAAACACTTCCGTCACATTACAGTATCTAACGCAAACACAAAGAACCCTTTACACATAATTGTCGTTATAAGAATGCAAAAACATTTCAGCACATTTTCCCTCAATTTTCCGAGAGGAGTATTCGAAAAGCTCGCTTTCAAACTATAAGATCCCCAGAGTATATGAGACCGGTTGCGTGACGTTCGTCATTTCTTACTTTCCATCTCATTTAGTGATTATGTTTCTCTTAAGCCTCAAAGGAATTTCGTGTCGTTTGCTACTTTAAACTTTTTGGCTGTTCTTTGTTATGCAAGGTATAAGTCAAATATTCAAGTTTCTAAAGAAAAGGAAATTACAATATCTAGGTAGATATCTAGGTATGGATCCTTTAAAATAAAAAAATTTAAAAAAAAAACATTTCATTACACAATTGTTTCAATTGAAGTTTCTTTTTTAAATAGCTTTGTCCACGTGTACTAGCTACGAAAACCCTTTTATATACATATCCTTTTATCGCCAACTGTCCGCGACCAATTTTTAACTTATTACAAAAAATAGAATACCGAGATCCGCTGATTAAAAATATATCTATATATTTTTTTTTTTTCATAATAACACCAAAGGTTTTTCTCTGCCATTAAGTGAATATTGTCCTAAGATTTATCACAACTATCTCGTTACAAGGCCAATTCATTTTGTATTTTTTTAGCTACGATATACGAAGCGTCAACGTCGAGACAGCAAGCAAGGAACGATCTATTCGCCGCTCGCGTGCAACGACGACGGTGACGTCACAGTGCTTGCGTCCCGTACTGCGTTCCCCGTGAGCGAGCGGGATAGTGAATACAGCGGTCTCGAACACGAACACGAAGCGCTTCTAGAACAATCCACATAGTGCGCGCTGTGATCTTAGCTATAAGTTTTACTATTAAGTTACAGCTTGTGAAACAGTTGGCGTTCAGTTTATTACAATTTCAGTTTTTAACTAACGATTCCCATAATATAAATTCTTTGTCTATTGTCAAACATGTTCGTTGGGCTAATTTAAATGATATAAGTTAAATTTGATATTAATATGACTAGCTTGAGTCTTAAATCATAGAACTTAAATTTGGAAGTAAGACAAGTGCCAACTGCATAATAAACGCCAACTGTTCGCAGTTGTATACTGAATAGAGAATAGACACAATCTCTAGCTAACTTTAAGCGCCGCTTGGTGTTACTATTATCTGTAAAACGTCACAAACTTGACATTGTCATCTCAATAGGAAACGGTCACTGTTATATATTTTTATCGAATCAGAACATTAAATATTACTATTAAATATTATGTATAGGTACTATTAGGCCAATGTGAGTACTTTTAGATAGCGTTATTAAACACAATTGTACAGTAATTATAAAAATATACAACATAGGTGTCATTAAATCCTATATGTGTCAACAAAAGACGAAATTAATATTTTAATATAGCTCGAAGTGATGACGTCATAAATGTCGAAGTAAGGATTTCAGGTGTTATATTCTTTTTGTAATTACGATAAGGTGTAAATTGTTATAATGAACAAAATGTTCTGATCGACGGGGCGTCGCCCTCTGCCGTCTACAATGTGATATGAGTGCTTAGGAGTTAATACGTATACACTTGCTGTTATCAATAAACCTAAAACGTCAAAAACATACTAAAATCCTCAAATAGCTGGGATACAAGAATCCTGCGTTAAAGTAAATAAGTAAAAGTAAATACTAGATAAAAGTGCAAATAGCAGTGGGTTCGGTTGAGAAAAATAAATATAGTTGTATTTCACGGAACAAACAAACAAGTCACAAACACAAGTTCCTAACTCGTACACAAAACGGTGTCAAACATTGCAGATAGGAAAATTCGCTTGCGGTCAAACTTTGGGGGCAGTAAATTTAAATTATGGCCCGCACAGAATCTGCTTACTGTGTCTTCTACCCTCAAGTCAATAGTTAAACACCAGAAACTACGCAAGTTTGTTAGGCAAGATTCCAAATTGTACGGATTTTAAGTCCCCGGGGCTGGGGTGTATAATTTTATGTTATCACGTATTTATAATTTTGAAGCGAATGTTCCGACATAAAACTAACTTTGCTGTTATTGTCTGTGGCACCTACTCCGGGATTTAATTGGAATTTGGAACGGTGTCTCTCAGTATTGGGACTCCGATTTAATGAAGGATCGTGTCATGTCACTTAAGCAATTTAGACATAGTTTACGTTGGAATCAATAACTCTTATCATAATTTTGACCCCATTTCGTTGATCCTATTGAGCCCAAAATCAAATAGGTAAATCTCGGTATTATCGTAAACAGAGAGTTCTGTGTTCATAAATAATATAAAGGCGAAGTGTTTTACCTGGTTTATTATGTAACGATAACAGCAATAAACAATATAGAAAACACGGTATCTGATACTAAAGTTATTTTAGTACTTTAAACATCATGCCATAATGGATGCCAGGTCGTAATAATTATACGTATTAAACTCTTTTCGTAAAGCGACGCAATTAAAGTAATAAATAATTAAAATAATAAGATAGGTAATAGGACCAACAGTTACCATAAACGTACAATAATAATTAGAACAGCTCTGCACAGCTTCACGTTTGCGAGAATCGCCCAAATTCATTCAATTGTATAATTTATTTAAGTAGGAGATCGGGCTTCGGCTTTTTAGTTTGTAAGATACGGGGTCATATGAAAATCTTGTCACAAAATACTGTGGAAAATCGACTCCTCGCTTTCCTTTGTTCCAGCGCTTTCCGATTGCTGACATAGTTGCGTTAGCCTCAAAATTTCACTATAATAATTAATTAGAATTATGTGCCGTTTAGGTAATGTTACCATACACCATCACAAAGTAAATTCGTAGATAGTTCGTTGAATAATTAATTATTGTAAATTATGATAACGTGTATATTCAATTAATGTGGTACAAACCACTGTTCATCGATGGAAATACTTTATAATTTGTATGTCGCTTTTATATCGTTTGTGTACTTAGTTAAATTTAAAATCTTGACATCTGATTTATATTTTTACGGTATTTTTTTGTATTCCTTGTTACGAAATTTATAGCAATTTTTCCTTTTATTTGTATGCGTGTACATTTTTTTAATTTGTTTTAGTTATTATATTTAATTAAATTGTATTTTTGTATGGAATGTTACGTGCAGGTCGTATTTATAATAAAACAGTCTTATGTCGATATGTGTTTTATTTTTTTATATATTATACAATTTAAAAAATAGCCTTTCTATATATAAAAAAAAGACAAGAATGGTTTATATAGAACCTAAGGTGAATAATTAAAGACGACGACGGAGGGGATAAGAAGTAGTAGTGACAAGGTACAATTAAACAGCGCTAAAGTAAATGAAATTATTTTAAATCAGTAAATTGACATACTATACGTATATTTAGATATATTCCCCAGTGCTACCGCTAAAAGTAACAACTCGCGGAAAAGCAAGAACGCGCACAACTCTGTGTATAAATGTAATTAAATAAATTACCACAGAGTGTAACAATGAATGCACTTGTGCAACTAACTTCGAGGGTTTCTTAAGTTTCAAGCACTTCTCCTGAAGTTATAGCTCTATGTTCGCGTATGTTCTTTTGAAATTAAACATTTCTCACTTAACATTTAGAAAGGCGCCTATCGTCAACAAACACAGCATTACAATAAATATTTTCATGACCATTAAGTAAGGAACTTTTAAACATTTTTTTAACAAGGTTGCCACTATATAAAAAAAAAAATCTATCCATTGAGCCCGTATCGTATTTTTTCAATTCAAATCGACTTTTATTAAAGTACTATATTTAAATGTGTACAAAAATAATTAATTGAATTAGAAAGGATATTTTTCTAATACTAGTATATTTTACATCTTTATGCTTATAACTAAAGTAGCTACTAAGATTTTTTGGGAGCAATTTTTCAAATTATAAAGGCTGTTATACGTAATAGAAATGATCATTTTATTCCCCGAGGATTCGAAGTACGACTTACAACAATACAACAAGCATACAAAATAAAAGTTACAATGGCCGTTCTGCACTTAAACAAGTGTACATATATATTTGATAGTATGTGTTTCGTATACCCAAATACGAATTCAAACTTCAACATAGTAAGAAATCAATGCCCCGATGTCAAAGGGATTGTTCCACGGACGGTGAATCCAATTTACTAAACTCATTCTTCTATTATTCTTTCAATCAAAGCCACAAAGCTTCAAACATCCGTATTTACCCTTCGCAGAATGTCGGCTTATGCAAGATTTTATTTTTATTCGGGTTAAACATTTTAGCCCGCCGCTTACGTTGAATGTGAAATGTAGAAAAGTGCCTAAATTAGCCCTTTATTTACTGTCCTTGTAGGAAGATAAATTAAGGTGCTCTGACGGGTTCTAACCAGCAGAGCGGTTAATTTTTGCTTAGGCTTCGTATATACGAGCGGGAATACTTGCCTTTTACTGATCGAACCTGATCAATATCTATACTAATATATAAAGCTGAAGAGTTTATTTGTTTGTAAGTTTAAACGCGCTAATCTAAGGAACTACTGGTTCGAATAAAAAAAAATATTTTGGTGTTGGTTAAAACATTAATTGAGGAAGACTATTAAAACGTGCATCGTGCTTTATAGTAGCAGAGACGGAGTGTGGAGAAAAGCGCCGCAACTGGGGAGAAAACGGTTGAAAATTTTGACCTTTGCTGTGTACGCTGCGAAATCGGTTTAAGATACACAAAAAGGATGATTCCTCTTTAAATAATATAAAAAAGTTTGCGTAATATATGCATATCTTTTAAGAATAAGGACGTCGTCCTTCAACGTTAAGAGTTGAGAGGAAGCTTGCAAAAACAAATTCCGATGCCCAAAGGAAGTCGCTGACACAGCTAGTAACCAATAAATCTAATTAGTCAAGAGTATACTGATAAGTTAAGCAAAAAACAAAAAAAAAATAGAATAGTTCTGTTTTTATTAAGTCAACATATTATGCTAAAATTGTTTATGTAAAAAACCTTTAAGAACCATATTTTGTTAGCTGCCAGGATAACCTTCGCGTAAGTAAACAAAAAGAAGAATTCGGAAATTGTTTCAATTCATTCTCTCACAGGTTAATTACCTAAATTAAAATGTTGGACGCTTTTGTGGCTTAATGGCTACTGAAAAAAATGTTTTCTCCTTTACACTTAACATTTAATTTTTATTCGGAAGATTTCTAATTAAAATTTTAATTAGTGAATGTACAGTGTGGAGATATTATATTTTCACAGAACAAAGAAAATAAATGTCAACGATCTAGTCTCTTTTCACCTCTGAAAATGTAGTTAATGGTATTTTAAAATCCGTCTTTAAAATGTGTTAAATCCCAGCTACATTGGTAAATTAAATTTTTCTAAAGTAGGCCTGCCTAACATTTTTACGTTTATTAAAATTTCGATGAACGTTGAAGGGACTTCACTTTACATTATGCAACTGTATATGATAAATTCGAATACATTTTTTCTATGATTTCATAGAACAATTTAAGTCGACGTTCATAATAAAATGATATAGGATAATAAAAAATTAAGGTTCAGTAAAGTTTAACGACATTTCTGTATGTCTAATTGACTTAATATCGGATTCACAAAATGTCCGCATACAAAACCCAGAACACAACACCGATGTGGCATGAGAACTATGTGAATTTAACGACTATTAATTGTTTGACTATTAATTCACGTTTGTTCGCCGTTCATGTTAATTCACATCTTAATTTATTGTTGGCGTGCTACAAAATAGAATTGAATGTGGGACAATAAAAGGAAATATAGATTTCGCGTGTTTAAGCTTTTGTTGTAATTAAAATTGAATT